TACCATGAGCACCTGAGCTTGGTTAGGTGCTTGTCCTCTGTGCATGCACCCATAACTCTAATTGCCTGTTTGTCTCCCCCATTGAACTGGGAGCACCACATGGGTAGGAACTAATATAGTGCCTGGAACAGAAGTGCTTGACAAATGGTAGCTATTAATATCCCATTCATATTTTTCTGAATTCTCTACTGAATGCCCACACTCCCTTACATTTAAATTTTACACATTTGTAATTTAAACATATCAAAGGGCATGGCCAAAATTGAACCAAGGGGGCCTGCTTTGATGACTGCCATAGTATCTCATGGTGTGAGGACTTCTTCAGGTGTAATGAGGATATGTTCAGCTGCTCATGGCCTCTCACACTATGTGATGGTATGTAGAGCAGTAAAGTCTGGCCAACCACGCAGAAGAGGCATCAGACACTTCCCTCTTTCCCCTCCTCTAGGACAGGTTTAGGTGCCAGGATTCTTCGGTCTTCCCCAACTCAATGACGTGTTTCTCCAGGGTAGTTCTCTTTGTTCTTCCCTATGCTTTTCTTGAGAGGGAAGGAATCTGGAAATCTGTTTAGAGACCACTGAAACCAAGTTTCTGAATAAGTCACATAATAAATATAACAACCACCACCACAGCCATTTATTAAGTGCTTGCCAGGCACTGTGCTAAAGCTTTACAAACATTGTTTCAGTTAATCCAACAACCCTGAGGTAGATATTTTCAACATCCCCTCCCCCATGTCATTATAGTTGAGGAAACTGAGGCTCAGAGAGGTTAAGTAAATCAACCAAGGTCAAACCCAGCTGGTAAGTAGCAAAGCTAGAAATCTGAACCAAAGATATTTGACTCCAAAATCCATGCTTTTAAATATTACGCTACATTTTTTCCCATTTTAAGTTAAAGGATAACATGCGCTGGATTGTTTCTCATTTTAAGTTAAAGGATACATGCTCCTTCCCAAAATATTACACAAACCAGATTTGGGGGGAGGGGTTTTTTTTTTTTTAAACTTCCTTAATCAGCTATGGTATTTGAACTCCTGGAGCAAAGAAACAGTCTGGGTATAAGCTGACCACTGAGTCCCTCTCTCCTGTTCCCATAGCTGCCAGGGCCTTTCTCATGTAAGATCTCCACTCCTGACATCTGACTATTCAATATCCTGTTTCCTTTTCAGCAACCACTAGAATGCAGAGGTCAGCCAAACGTGGTGACAGGGAGCCAAAGACAACTGAGAGAAATTAGGAGACATTCACAAAATGCCCATCATTCCTGAACTGCTGGACCCTAAGGCACACAGATGCACTTAGATGGAAATACAAATTACAGTATTTCCACCCTGGTTTACCAGGCCCAGCTTTATTCTTACAGAGTCTCCAGACCAATCCCTATAACCCCTTTCTGTAACTGGTTCTCTACCACTCTCTAGATATCCTCCCCCCATCTCTGGAGGCCTCACTAACCATAAGCCCCTGGGCCTCAAGGCTGCCAGTTTTTGAGGCTTTGCCCCTCATAAATGCCCCAGAAGTGCTCAGTGGGGCTCGATTCAGGATCCCATGACTTATGAGGATTAAACAGAACTGGCTGAAGACAAGCACAGGAAGGGCCACCAGAGTGAAACAAGCTGAACCAGGATGTACAGAACTGACAAAGGAATGGCAAGAGAACACAGCAGACACAGAACAAATGGACACAGACAAAATAACAGAGCCATCAAAAGTCAGAAATGAAAGATGTCCCTCAGATGAACAGGGATGACCCCACAGAGAGGGATCCTAAAGACAAGTCTATCCAAACATGTAGCCACAGAGCTTTGGCGTGAAAGGCAATTATTTAGGAAAAAGGGCTTTGGTGACAGGGCCATGGGAGAGCCTGGGCAGGGGGAAGCTGAGTAAAAGAAATCGAAGAGGCCTCTGGAAATGGAAGTGGAAACATCCCTTCAGGCAGTTTGAGAGGATATCAAAGAAGTGTGCAGAGACCAGAGGACAAGCAGTTAGAGACCCAAAGAGGAGTAGGACATGGGCTGAAATGCTAGGGCCTCTGAAGTCCCTGAGCTACTTCCAGGCATATCCCATTATCCACCCCATCTGGGTAAACCTGGTCACTGAGGGTCATTCCTTACAGCCCTTACTAAGTATTTACTGCACCAGATTTTGAAGGGTGGAGACCCAGAGGTAGGGAACTTACTGAGAGGAGAGACACAGCCCCACTCTTGAGAAGTTCACATTCTGAAAGGAGACAGAGAACCATCAATATCCCCCATCCCCTCATCCTTGAGGGAGCCTCTGACCTACGGAACCCACTGCAGTCAAGTCATAAAATTGAGGAATACCAACTGATGTAAATATTGTCCTTCAAGTTTGAAAGGACAGAGGAGGGATAAGAGGTAACTTGGAGACATGGGAAGATTTGAGTGGGGATTCTCCACACCTTAAGACTCAGCCTAGGCCGGGCGCGATGGCTCACACCTATAATCCTAGCACTCTTGGAGGCCAAGGTGGGAGGATGGCTCAAGATCAGGAGTTCGAAACCAGCCTGAGCAAGAGCAAAAATAGAAAGAAATAAATTGGCCAATTAAAAATATATAGAAAAAATCAGCCAGGCATGGTGGTGCATGCCTGTAGTCTCAGCTACTCGGGAGGCTGAGGCAGAAGGATTGCTTGAGCCCAGGAGTTTGAGGTTGCTGTGAGCTAGGCTGATGCCATGGCACTCTAGCCTGGGCAACAGAGTGAGACTCTGTCTCAAAAAAAAAAAAAAAGACTCAAGCCTATTACTTAACCTTACCACTGCTCACACATCTGGGCCAGGGGCCTCAGTACCCACCACACAGCTACAGCTGAACTGATGTGGGGGGAAAAAATCAATGCTGTGGGAGGCCTAGAGTGACAAATCCCTCTCAGGAGTGCCCAAGGGCTTGGAAGATTCTGAAGGTATAGAGCTTTGCTCCACACTGATCTTCCTAATCTCTCAACAGTCCCTGACCTTGTCCACACAGAGTACACAACGTACATGGATGGCTTCATAAGCTCTGGTTGTTTCGTGTGTTTTCCTCTCTAACTTAGCAGAAGTTCCTGAGGTTTGATAAAGGCCAGGCTTTCTTCATACCCCACAGCACTAGAATGTCAAATACTTGTCACAGGTAGGATGTCAGAGTGTTGACTTTTACAAAAACGATTTTCCACAAACGCAAGTCAAAACTATTCCATTGTTATTCTTTGCCCTATAGCTTGCATCTGACACCTACCCTATCTCTATCTTTGTTGTCTCATGCCCAAAGATGTCTGTTCCTGTATCCATCTCAGGCAGGGACTGGGCCCCTAATTCTTTGTTAAGAAATACAAGCTCCACCCACTTGTGGCAATACTGAAAGAGTATATGGCCCAGGAGTCTCTGGGGGGAGAAGGAGGGAGTATCTCCCCACACTAGGCTGGCCCACTGATAAGGATCCTTCCCCTCTGTCTCCTAACAGATTCAGATTAATGATCACTCATTCCTAATTGTCAAATTTCTTTTCCTTCATCCTGTGTCTAATCACCAGTGACAGAAACCATTACGCAAATGAGAGCAGACGACTTCCCCCAACTGTTCACGTTGGTAAAAACCTTGTAATTTAGAGCTCTGATTTGTAGGGGAAGCTGGTCTCCCCCAGGCATCCTGGGCATCTGCTCAACTGATGCCCAGAACGGCCCCTCCTCCCTCCCCTGAATGCCAACCCCCCAACAAATATTTGACTTCACAAAACAGTAGTTTTCTCTGTACCTGCTGGTGTAAATATGGGAACTTGCAACATGGCTGACCTCTGCAAAGGCCAAACCCCTACCTTTCCTTAGTGTGTCTGCCTCCATGCTGCCAGCCAGAATGGGGTAAGCAATTACAGCAGAAATGTTTCCTCTGCTACAAGCAGAATTTGAGCCTTAACCAGCCTCTGGCTTAGGTAAGCGAAGAGAAGAGCCTCAATTGATTCTTTGGGGAAAGAAGCAGCAGCAGAACACGAATCAAGACTCTTAGTCAGGGGTCCTCAAACTTTTTAAACAGGGGGCCAGTTCTCTGTCCTTCAGACCGTTGGAGAGTGTGCACAAGTTGGCTGCTAAGCAGGACAGGCAGCTGCGGCAAAAACACCTGGCAGGCCGGATAAATATCCTAGGCGGGCAGCATGTGGCCCGCAGGACGTAGTTTGAGGGTGCCTGCTCTTAGTGATCACCTAAGAGTTTCAATTCTATAGATGCAGAAGCATGCTTGGAGGAGGTATGGGACAGTAAATGCAATTGGATCTAGAACCCAGTTCCTCCATAGCTTCTTGTAGCACTGACGTGGTTTCCCTGGCAGTTTCCCAGAGACGTCTCTAGATGGAACCCAGAAGAGCTTTCACTGTGAGCTGCATCTTCTGCGCCCTCTTGGGCTGAGCCTGCCTACAGACATTGTCCAGTGGGATAAAAACTAAGGATAGGGCCTGTGGTACAAGGGAGGGAGTTAAGGAAGGAGACTCAACATAGTTTGGTAGAAAAGGAGCAGAGAGTTTGCAGCCAAACAGCACTAGGTCAGAATCCTGATTGCCACTCATTACTTAATCTCTCTGAGCCCATTTCCTCATCTGTAAAGTGAGAATACCTACCTTGCAGGATAGTGAGGAACAAAGATAAAAGCACTAGGCACATATTAGGTGTCTAAAAATCAGGGATTGCTATTAACCAAGGATCAGGACCAATCCTGTGAAGGTTCCAAGGTCAGCCTTCTCCCTCCCTCCCCTTCGGCCACCTTAGGTCAGACTTGTGTCAGCACAGCACCCAGCAAGGACCTGCTGAGCAGCACACACTTTCATGCCGCACATCACCCACATCTCTAAAGGCTGAGCCAGGAATACAGCAGACCTGCTGAGGAGAACGATAATAATCTGCTGTATTTCCAAGTGTGATTGTGGCCAAGTTTATCCTCCGCCTGCCTTGTTTTCTTTGCTGTACTCCTCTTTCCCAAAAGAGATGGAGCGATGGAGATCCACTGCAACCACATTTCCCAGCACTGACTATATTGAAAGAGCTAACTTGAGAAGAGAATCATGTCTTCACACTCACACTGCATCAGAGGACCCCAGAAAGGGGTACTAAAAATAAACACCCCTTCCCAAAATACACACATGGGCATGCACAGGCATACACACACATCCTCTCAGTCCATCAGTGCACTATAAACTGAGCTTCGGGGAGGAGAGCCATAGCTCGAACACTGGAAGTAAACCTTAGGCAAAAAAAAAAAGGTGTAGGAAAAATAAACCAAAGACCTTCTAACTCCTTTTTCCTTCCAGAGAGAAGTGGATGGAGACTGGAGTGGAGATAAGTAGACATAGGGCCACTACACCACCCAATCCCAGGTTCCCACTGAATAAATGTAAATGATGGCCCTTCAAGTTGTGCAATACACAACTGCCCAGCTATAAGCTGCAGCCCTGAGAGGGGTTCCCATGAGTAGCTACTAACAGAAAAGGAAATTCTACTTCCATGCTCTACCGGTTGCCCTGACTATTGAGGGTGTTGTGGAATATTATTACAATAGGGTCTGGCAGAGGCGCTGGCTTTAAATGGCAAGGCTACAATTTTGCCCTTGCCCTGAGGTGGATGACAGGTAGTGAGTTAGCTGCCTAAGCTCGACCCATTTCATCTACTCAGCCAGGAAGCTCAGTAGAAGTAGAGGATGTGGCCTGGGCAGGAATTGTCATAGGGCCCAGAGGCTCTAGCCAGTCAGCCTCAGGCAGGGTGCTGTGAGACCTGACCAACATATGATGGCTAAAATCCAAGTTAAACAGCTTTAGGTCAGGCAGTACTTCCTGGGGCTCACACTGTACTGCCCCACTGGACAAGGTAAACAGTGGGGAACCTTAGTAAGCAGGGAGGCTGGCCAGTGTGGACAAACACACACACACACACACACACACACACACACACACACAAACAAACAAACACACCCCCACAGAGGCTTACATCCCTAGAACTTTGAGAAGCCACAGCTAGAATTCCCTTGGCACCCAGCACCAGGGCAAGAGTTGGTGCTGAAAGAGAAATTGTATGTGTATTTAACTCAGAACTCATGCACAATCCTCGGTTCTTATGTCCCAAGGTCCTTTCTATGTATGGCTTGAGCTTGTAGGTCCCAGCAGGAATCCTATCTAATCCTTTCTTTCACAGGAAGGCTATTTAGGCTCTCAAAGGCAAGCCTCCCTCTCATTCTCCCCATTAGAGTCCCAGGAGCCATTCCCACCCAGCCTAGAGCTTGACTATGCAAAAATTGGATGGAGGCAGACTGACCTAATGGTCAGACTAGCTCTGGCCCTGCAGCCCAGATGGAGTGGGGGTCCAAGACCATCTCCTTTCACTCAGGCTGAGGCACTGAGGTTGCAGGAGAGAGGGCTGAGAGCCAGAAGTGACACCCTGACCCAGAAGGTGAGGACAAGGAATAGATACATACATGTGTGTGCGTGTATACACGTGCACCCATCCCAAGGTTGACAGACTCACACACAGACATGATGACAACCAAAAGCTGGGACTCCAAACACTGAATGCAGGACTTGGGGGGTGGGGAGGTGGGCAGAGGGAAGGTGCCGGGGCACAAGAGGCAAGAGTAAGAAACCCCTCCAAATGGGAGTGGAGTGCCAACCGCCCTGCCTCGCCCCAAACACCTGCCTCCAGGGCCATGGCAAGAGTCCAGTCCATTAAGTGCAGCGTGCAATACTAGTGCTTGGAGTCTCCTGTCCTCATCAATGAAGCGGTGTGGACGGGATAGCAGTCACCTGGCAGGAGGCCGTGACTCCTGGCAGGCTAGTTGTATCGGCCCTTGATCATTGTGTTCAACAAGGGCCCCACCTGTAAAGAGACATGAGGAGCCAATCAGAACTGCCTGTTCCCTGGCCCTGGAGTTGGATGGGGTGTGTCTTGAGACACTGGATATCCAGCCAAGGACAGGGACAAAGTTTTTATTCAATCTTGTGAACTCTCTAATCAACTCTTTGCCTGAAAGTCAACCAGTATGCTGGGGCATGGCCCTCTCCTTGGGCATCCATCTTGTACTACCTTCCCTCTCACAAAACCCTGTATCTTACTGTAAAGTAGCATCAAACTGACAAGGAGATGGTCAAAGGAGCTAATAATCCCCAAACACCTCAGAGTGTGTCTGCATGTTTCGCTAATGTGCCTTATGAATGTTAAATGCCTCTATATCCTCAACAAAAGGTCACCTTCAGTTGGGGCTGGTGCCATCTCCCAAACCCACAGGTATCTGTGGCTACTGAGGTTACCCACAGGAAGGAGACAAGAGCATGACAAATACAAATTTACCCAATGAGCCACTGGTGTACCTGCGTGGGAAGCAGGTCTCAGTATTACCTAGAATAGCCTTGGCACAGCTGGGAGAGTGCAAGGAGATGCTTTAGTGCTCGCTTCCTTTTTCAGAAGAATCCCCTTAGGGGTCCCCAGCTGGTGCACAACCCCCATGGGGAACATTACTACCAGCATGGAACAGATTATAATTGATCTACCAGTCAAGCCCAGCTCTCACAAGAAAACAAGGTTTTTCTGATCATAACCATAACCTCTAAGGGCAGAGAGGATACCAGATACTGAAACAAAGGAACTATGAAGAATGTCATACCAATCCTGACTTTCCCTGGTCAACCCACCCACTGAGCCATAGGAGTGCCACCGTGGGGCAGCCACATACCTCTTGTGGGTTCCCCAAGGCCTCTCCAAGCATCTTCTCAATGTTTCTCATTATGGCCACTTTCTGATGAGCTTTGAGAGGATATTCAATTCTCTTAGGGGTGGGAGCCCCCTACAAAGGAAGCAGTCGCTCAGGAAATGCCCTTAGCTGCAAGCTTCACTGTCACTCCACTATTCCTAGTACTATCCTCCCCCTTCTAAGAAACCCAATTCAATCCTATCCCTCTTCATCTCCCCAGAAACCTGGGAATCACTTCCAGGGATAGCCAACTACCCTGCCCCATCTAAAAAAAAAATGTCACACCTACCTCACCCCAGCCCCAGTTCCATCTGGAAGAAAAAAAATTAACCATATTTACCTTATACCAGAAGTTCACAGTGATGGTAATCCCCCCATTTAGTAATGACTCTATATGATGCCACCTGCAAGAGAACAAACAGGCTCCTGTTTACCACCGATACTTTTCAAAGGGAAGGATGAAAAACTACGTAGAGTCCAGTTAAGGGAAACAGTGAAGACAACATCTGTATACTCATCCTGTAAAACACACACACTGTTAGAGGCAGTGGTATTCAGTATCCATATACCAAAGAGCCAAGAACAGTTTCTCAAGCCGCAAGCCTCTGGGATCTCTCTGGACCTGAGAAACTGTCATCCCGTCCTAGAGATACGACTGTCATTTCCCCCACGTTCAGTATGCTCACATCTAGACAGGCCAATCTTCCTAGACCACCTAAGACTAATCCTGCCACAACTCACAAGGGACACAGATATGGCTTTCCAGGGAATGGGAAAGCAAGCCCCCCAAAAGCTCCCAGCCCTAGCCCCCTTCTCACCAGTACATTGGGATGTAAAGAACATCACCAGGGCCAACCACTGTTTCATAACCAACCACGTTTTGGAAATTAGGGAATCTCTCATAGTCAGGATTGTCAAAGTCCACCTAAGAGGTTCAAGAGAAAGAAAGAAAAAAAATCAGTCAATCACCAAATCTTTACCAGTAACTACTATGTGCTAGTTTGGTAGTTTAAAAAAAAAAAAATGTCAGAATTTCTATCTATATCTAGCAGAAGATATAATGCACATTACACTCTTTCTTAGAGAACAATGTAAGACAGTCCATGCTTGAAAGTTAAGTGATAAAGAATCCCAGGCCTCAGTGCTCCTGAGGTCAGAAGACCTACTCCACTGCCTGAGGATATGAGGAACTGGGACTTATCCTTCGCCCAAACCTTCAGAAACTTTCTCCCAAAACCATATTCTAATCAGCAGACTTCCATATGAAGTAGGTAGACAGCTTTTTCAAGAAAGGGCATAAAGTCAACCATATACCTCACTTAGATCCAGGAAATATATTAAGTAACATAGTCCAATTTTATTCACCCTTCTCCTCATCAAAAAGAAATAGTATACATGACAGAAGCAAGCAATGATTGAATCCAATGAAGACATATATTTTATGTCTCCATGAACTTTTAAGCCAATCAAACACAGAGTAACCAGAGTCCACCAGCATCAAGGATGATGTCTGCCCCAAGAATTAGCTCTACAAGGCTGTTTATACTTACCAACATCTGGGGACCACCAAAGGAGCCTGGAATATGTGAGCTGCACTGTGAAATTATCCTCTGGGTTTGTCTATATGGGAAGACCAGCCTGGAATTCAAACCTGGCATACCACCAGGGAAAGAAAAAGGCATTCCTAGAATCTAGAGTTCTATACCCTCCTTAGACCACACAAACTTACCTGGCTCTGTCTGTCACATGGGTGATGGACAGGGTATGGGTAGAGGCACTCAAACTGATCTGGAGGGAATAAGATGCATCGTTTGTAGCCTTTTATCTGAGCAAAGAAATTTTGTTGCTCATCATAGTGAGCAGGTGTCACATTTCCTGTTAAGAAGAAAAACATGTTCTTACCCAGAGTAGTGGCTCTATTGCACAGGCTAGAATATGAGATCAAGTGCTGGAGAAAAATCCAGCCTGTCCTCCCAGCTAAGCATTCCAAATCAAAATTTTAGACAGAATCAGGGAAATCACAATTACAACTCTTGGCAAATTAGGCATTACATTTTTATGGGTAATACGTCTAGCAAACATCACCAGTTAAAGGTCCACGATTAGCTGGCAAAGTAAACTTTCCTATATGATGGCAGCTGCCCTTATTGGAAGCAAGAACACATCAAAATGATACAAGTCTGGCAGGGCAATATACTGCATATACTTGTACACCTCTTGACTATGGCAAGAATTCAAGGGAAGCAAAGCAGTTAGAAATGACAGAAATGACTGGTATCAACAACATATGCATGATCTACTTCCAGGAGTTAACCAGTCATCTTAAGTCATATGGTATGTACTTGCTTTGGGTGTAGTTCTTTTGGAGCTCAAGATTCTCAACTTTTTTTTTTTTTTTGAGACAGAGTCTTGCTTGTTGCCCAGGCTATAGTGAGTGCCATGGCGTCAGCCTAGCTCACAGCAACCTCAAAATCCTGGGCTCAAGTAATCCTTCTGCCTCAGCCTCCGCGAGTAGCTGGACTGGCAGGCATGCGCCCACCCATGCCCGCTAAATTATATATATATCTATAATTCATTGGCCAATTACTCTCTTTCTATTTATCAGTAGGAGACGGGCGTCTCTGCTCTTGCTCAGCTGGTCGAACTCCTGACTCGAGCAATACCGGCCCGCCTGGGTCTCCAGAGTGCTAGATTACAGGCGTGAGGCCAGCTGCACCTGGCCCAATTCTCACTTTTGTTCGAACTTCAACACAACTGTTGACATGCCAACACTTATCAGAGCACACCTGGGGCTCGACTCATTGCTGATGATTCTCATCAGAGGAAACAATAATCCAGCTATTCCCAAAGAGAAGGTTATATATCTTACGAATAAGGCACATTTATTCTACAAATGCCACCTCCAATGTAGAACCCCTATCCTGATGTGTGTATACAATCCAACCTTTGTGTCTCATCGTGAGGTCCTGCTGCGCGGATGTAACACAATGTCTCGTTACCTGTCACTTCTTCTTTGCATAATTTGAAAACAGTAGAGTTCAGAAGACCACACCCGCTGGCAGGCGCTCATAAGACCAGTTAGAAAAAGTCCCAAGCTCTGGCCAGGGTCACTTAATTCGCAGGAACATGTGCATCAGCAGGAGCTCGGCCATCTAAGCTGCTGACAGTCATTGTGCATTCTCAAAGAGAGAATTGCCGCGCTTCAGTGCTCAGTCTGTTTATACTCACTGACTACACAAAGTTGAGGGATGGACCTCTTAGTGCTCCCCTGGGCACCGGCTGGCGATACAGTGGTGGGCGCGAGAACATTTTCAAGGAAAGCATTCAGCAAAAACTGAGTGCAGGTAAACAGAACCCGCCTGTCTTACCAGGTCCACATCAACGGCTGGCTTTCAAAGGGAACAGGTTAAGGTCAATATACTACCAACGGTTTTTTTCTAAGCTGCTGGAAAGAACAATCAAGAAGAGACCAAGAGGCTCAATAGTGAATGACAATAATTAACTCTGCTAAATTGTTCAACCCATTTATTCATCATTACTTAAGTTACGCGTATATGGGCCCCTAGCACTGAGCTAGTGCCAAAATAAGAAGTGAACAATGACCCTGGTCCATGAAAGTAGCGTCTCCTCCCGAACATTTGAATTTAAAGGCGTTTTTTTTTTTTTTTTTTTTTTTTTTTTTTTTTTTTCCTTCTCCTTTTTTATTCAAAAGAAAAAACAAAAGAACACACATTCAATATTTCCTGTGTATGCATAAAATTCTCAGCAAGAAACACAAGCAACTAATAATATGCAATTGTCGGGAGAAAACTGTTGAGGCTGGGAGATAGGTAAGGAAGAAGATTTATCACTACACACCTACTTTATACACTTTTGAATCTGAACCACAGAACGTTATTATCTATTTAAAAGATAAAGTTAGCGGAAAGGTGGTCAATCTATAATCCAGCCTTTGGGAGGCAAAGATACAAGGATGCAATTGAAATGGAGATGTTGACGACGCCTCAGCAACATATAACAGAACCCATCCTCTACAACACTTTAAAATTACCTGGCATGGTGGCACACACTGTCAAGTCCCAATTACTCAGGAGCCTGAGGCAGGAGGATCATTTAAGCCCAGGAGTTTGAGGTTGCAGTGAGCTATGTCGACCATTGCATCTAGCTAGGCAACAGGCATGACCTGTTCTCTTAAAAATAATGACCCAGATGTGGGGGGCCATGCTGTATCACTAGCACTGGGTGGCGGGAAGATCAATAAGGTAAGAGTTCGACACCAGCCTGAGCAGGACTGTAGACCGCCATCTTTTATAAAACTAGAAATAACACGACTGGTGTGGTGGCACACAACCTGTCATCCCATCTACTCAGGAGGCTGAGGCAGAAGATACCTTGGCCCCAGGAGTTGAGGTGCGTGAGCCAAGATGACGGTCACTAGCACTCTGCCCAGTGCACAGAGTATACATCTGTCTCAAAATTAAAAAAACATAAATAAAGGTTAAATTTTATTGGAAATAAATTTCCCTTCTTTTAAGTGAATAAAATTTCTGAATCATATCGCAGTAGAGGGAGCAGTACAGTTTATGCGCTATTAACATTCGGTAACAATGGACATATATACACAGTGGTCCTCATAAGATTATAAACAGGCCCTATTGCCTGGTGTACAATTTTTCACAAATACTTACTACTGGTTATAATTGCTACAATATTCAAGTACAGGACCTTGGTTGTATAGGGGTTGCAGTCTAACAGACAATATGCTACACCCATCATAGCCTAGGTGTTATTAGGTCTATCTTAGGGCTGTGTAATACATCTCGATGATTCCAAAAACAAAATCGCCTATCAAAATTTGCAGAAATAACCCTGT